TAGATGGTATGTGCGTCCACTTAACGAAAACAGAAAGAATGATGGCGAGTTTGCCCTTTTTATTCAGCAAATGCGGAGCACAGATGATGAAGTGCATTTTTCATACTTCAGAATGTGCGCCGCGCAGTTTGACGATCTCTTGAAAAGGGTATCGCCATATGTGAAACATGCAAAAACGCACAGGACACAGATTTCCACTACAGAGAAACTGGCCTTGACACTCCGAGTACTAGCTTGTGGGGCAACGCAACAAAGTGTGGCTGAAACATTCAAGATTGGACCGTGCACAGCCCGCAAGGTAGTCGCGGAGATGTGTTCTCCTGTCTGGCCTCCGTGGAATGAGAAACGAACCGGGGTGGGAATTGCACGTCAAAGAAGGCGGAGTTCCACCGACTGCGTAATCGCCACGGACCAATGGAAGCTCAAAGGCGTTTAGGAGGCAAAACGAACTCCCCCAAAAAGTTCACTTTGGTGAGCTGTTTCGAACTGCCAAAACGAACTTCGTTTCGGCCTGATTTTGTTCTAAATGACATCATTTCAGTTTGTTCTTCGATTTCGTTTGAAGTATATCGGGGCCTTTATAGTTTTTTGTTTTAGTATATTGTCAGTTTTCCAGTGGAAAACAAATTTCTTTGCTTGAAATAAAATAAGACATTTTTTTTGTCCTAAACTTGATGTACTAAAAAATCTAAAACTAAAACTGAAATAAAAACGTATAAAAGCTATATACACTACAACTACAGCAACACAGCAACATTTCTAAAACTAAAATTAAAATGAAAAAATATATTTAAAAAAGAACTGATTAAAAATTTTAATAGAAACTATAACCGCAATAATACTATAATAATAAAATATCAACAATATCTCTGTAATAGCTCAATAATACTGTAATAATATCTCAATAATACTAAAATAACACTGGAGCAAGAAGAAAATCACTAACTGATATTAAATATAACTCACTAAAATTATGTTTCACATGATAAAACATCTGCTTGTCTGAAGGAGTCTACTTAAATATTTGGAAATAAGTTTTGTAGGCATTGTAAGTAGATATGTTTTTTAAATAAAATTTCTCATTTTTAATTAGTAAACTCTCTAATTTTTATAAAATTTTTTAAAATAAAATTTACATTTATTTGAATTTTTAGGATCAGTAATCAGTTTTTTTTTTTTTTTTTTTAAGAAATCAATCCTTGTATTCAGCAAGGATGTGTGAAATTGATCAAAAGTGACAGTAAAGACATTTTTTAACATTTCGTACTAAAAAATCTAAAACTAAAACTGAAATAAAAACGTATAAAAGCTATATACACTACAACTACAGCAACACAGCAACATTTCTAAAACTAAAATTAAAATGAAAAAATATATAAAAAAAAAAACTGATTAAAAATTTTAATAGAAACTATAACCTCAATAATACTATAATAATAAAATATCAGCAATATCTCTGTAATAGCTCAATAATACTGTAATAATATCTCAATAATACTAAAATAACACTGGAGCAAGAAGAAAATCACTAACCGATATTAAATATAACTCACTAAAATTATGTTTCACATGATAAAACATCTGCTTGTCTGAAGGAGTCTACTTAAATATTTGGAAATAAGTTTTGTAGGCATTGTAAGTAGATATGTTTTTTAAATAAAATTTCTCATTTTTAATTAGTAAACTCTCTAATTTTTATAAAATTTTTTAAAATAAAATTTACATTTATTTGAATTTTTAGGATCAGTAATATTGTTTTTTTTTTTTTTTTTAAGAAATCAATCCTTTTATTCAGCAAGGATGTGTGAAATTGATCAAAAGTGACAGTAAAGACATTTTTTAACATTACAAAAGATTTCGGTTAATATATATATGTAATAATCATAAAATAATCAGAAATGTTTCTTGAGCAGCCAATCAGCATATTAGAATGATTTCTGAAGATCATGTGACACTGAAGACTGGAGTAATGATGCTGAAAATTCAGCTTTCCATCACAGGAATTAATTACTTTTTACAATATATACACATGGAAAACAGTTATTTTAAATTGAAATAATATTTCACAATTTTACTGTTTCTTTATTGTATTTTTGATCAAATAAATGCAGCATTTGTGAACAGAAGAGTCTTGTTTGTTTTTGATCTTGTGTGTTGTGTCTCTGTAGTTGCCTTGAGTCTCCTGCAGTCTGACAGTAAGGAGGTGAAGGAGAGCGTTCGGCGGCCCAGTGGAGCTCATGGGCTCAAGAGCAGCCCGTCTCCCATCAGCCTGAGTTCTGTGCCCAGCTCCACCCCGACCACTGGAACCAGCACGCCCGAGTCCACCACACCCACCGGCAAAACCACGCGCCGCAGCTTCTGGGAAATGCTGGTGCGTGCGCTCACTCAGCATGTGCAGTCTCCATTAACAGCAAATTACTCTCATTAATTATGACTGTCAACACCTCCAAAACTGCATTGATGGTCAGCATGATGCGGTTGATCTGGACTCAGTGAAGCGTAAACGCTGGAGAATGATTGGGCTTTATGTTCGCTGGTCTGCTGCCAGTTATCGGTCTTATGATGTGTGTGTGTGTGTGTGTGTTTGGTAGAGTAAACCAGAGACCTCTGAGCTTGGCAGTCCAAAGACGACGGATGACATTGTACAGGAGCGTGTCGAGGACAGTCGCGTGAGCCGGCGGAGACACAAGACGGAGAGCGTCAAACAGCAGTGGAACCATGAGAAAGCCATGGCAGTCGAGCAAGAGCAGGCCCAGAGGTACACACACACACACACACACAGCTGTGTTTCTCATGCTTCTGTTTGTAAAATAACATTTGCACAAGTTTCTATGATAAAATGAACATGTTCAGATGATAAGACAAAAAAAGGAGATGACATATGACAACTAAAACTATTAAAAATATTTTCATTAATTTCATTAATAAAGCTTAAATAAAATAAAGTAAACATTTTAGATGAAAACTTTAAAATAAAATTAGGAATGTTGCCTTGGCAACTAAATGAAATAAAATAAATTAAAATACTTTTAGGTTTTACTAACTGAAAAATCAATTAAAGCTAAATAGAATTATTTAATAAAATACAAAAAAAAAAAAATGCCAAAAGCACATAAAATTGCTAAAAGTTAAACTAAACTTAAAATTGAAACTGAAATTCTAGAAATAAAAGCTAAATACAATAATAGCATGTAAATAATACTAAAATTAAAGTTTCTGTCTGGTTGCATGTAAAAACATAGAGAAATAATGTAAACCTGTTCATTAAAAAAAATATATATATATATATATTTTAATGAATTGCTAAAGAACAAGAGAACGTAGTCTTAAACATACATATTCAAAACACAGTTTTAATTTGTCCTCTTTCTTCTGTGCTTTCAAACTGAAACACCATTTTCAACCATTGTGCCAAATACCCAACTTCTCATTATTGTGTAAATCAGATGGTATCAGAATAATCAGATTTCCAAATGATTTTGGGCCAGTTCTTCCTGGCAGTCTCTGAGATGTCGATTTAGATGTAATTAAATTACCACCCAGCCTTTGTGTTTGTCAGAATACAGTAGATAATGCGGTTGTGGGCGGTGACAGAACACTAACATTTCTGATTCAGATGACAATAAGTTTACAGACGTAAATGCTGAAGTGACCTCAGCCACCCATGTTAAACAGGCCTATAGTCATGTATTGACTCGTGGGAACTGTGTCTGGATGTGTGTGTTGTAGGAGACATGCAGTCCAGCTGGAGGAAGGTGATACAGGCACTCTTCAGCCCATCTAGCGATCGTGCAGGTCTCTACTCGGAAGGTGCCTGTTATAATGTTATTATCGAGGCTCTTCTATAAAAACGTTAATGCCCTGGCAGTGGCAAATAGCTTTGGTTTTATATTTAAATTAATAACATTAATGTTTAAGTTGAGATTTACAAGAAATATTTTAACTGCTACTATGTAAAAAATAAAAAAAGCACCTTATTTGTTTAAAGTGTTTGCAAACCAAATGTTATTTCACTTTTGTTCATATAGCAGTACTTTTAAATGAAAAAAGTGCACAATACACTACTTTTGAATTCATTATTGAATTTTGTGCATAACAATGCGATTAATCACTGAAAATCATGCGATTAATCGCGATTTTTAAAAAAAAAATTATCGTTGCCCAGCATGGGTGTCATTACCACAATGATATTAAGTGTTATCATGTTAAGTGTCAAAATGAAATATATATATATATATGTGCTCTCAATTGTTTAAAAAATATAACTAATTAATCACACATTTCTTCCTGAAATCAATTGCGATTAATCCCACCTAACGGTAAAGTATTTAAATATACTTTTATATTGCAATAATTCTAATAAAAAATATGGCATTTAAATATATTGGTTTATTTGAAAATGGTTTTAAGTTCACTTAATTAGAAGTTGTTATTTTTTTAATATATATATATTATATTATATTTAACATTTTTATTTCTAAAACATTTTTTACATTTTACATGCCATTACCAAATCATTTACACAACCAATTAAAAACTCTTTTGGAAAAACTAATAGCAGTATTGGGAACAACTCATGAATGTATAAATACCAATGAATTTTTTTTAATACCAGGTCATTTGGTATGTATGTGCACAATTTGTAATTCATTTTCTAATGAAAAAGTGCAAAGTAGAATTTCCCTGAGTTTAACATTTACTCTAAATGCACTATAGAGGGGACGTTTGAAAATGAAAAAGGCTTGTTTCACCTTTCAACACTCTTAATACTTGGGAAGAAATAATTAAAGAGACACAATAATGAAGTTTAAAGTGATTAGACAGATTAAAAAAAAGTCCCCTAATGAAATATGCAGTAAATAATTTTCTCTCTCAGGTTGTCCTTCCATCCAGCACTGTTCAGCTGAAGCCTCGCATCATTTCCTCATGCCCTCCATCCTCACAGAGACGGTCAATCTGGTCGGCTCACTGGCCGGTGACACGGCAGTCAAAGTGTTTGAAAGAACCAGGTGCGTCCCAGTATCATCAGAGCGGTCCAGACGTGTCTGTCGCTGCAGATGTGATCAGTGACTTCTGTATGTGCAGAGGATGCTTAGCTGTTCAACGCACCATCAGATGTTTCTGTCCGTTCAGTTTATGCTTAAACCGATGAGCTGTTTCCTGTGTGTGTCTCCAGCTGTCCTCAGGGAGACATCTATGTCCCCCTGTCAATCATCCAGCACATCAGCCAACCACCTGGCACCACCAGGAGCTTCATTCTCATTGGTCGCAACTTCAGCCAATGGCACTGCAGTACAGAACAAGGTGCCTCCTATGTTCACTCATTAATTATCATGTCGTCTTTGATTACACACAGTTACTGAATGATTTAATGGGTTCAACTTGAATCAGAGAAATCAGTGCTTTCCAAGGAGCACATTGTAATTTGTTTTATATTTTCATAAGCAGGCTTATTATAACCAAAGTTTGAATACATTAAGTAGTACAACCCCATTAATAAGTAAATGCCAATATAACCAATAATACACAATTGATCATGTGCAATAATGCATTATACTCTCTGATAAGGGATGTAAATTACGTCATTTAACTGGGGATATGCATATTCTTGAGAACATATACATGATTACAAGTCGAAATATAAGGCATTGTGAATGAATTATAATGCATAAAAATAACCTTTTTAATTCATTATATATTCAGCTGAATCTCATGAAAATGGTCATATAATCAGATAATATTTCTCTCCAATTTCAAAAGGAAAAATAATGAATTAAATAAGAAATATTCTCTATAAAAAATAAACCAATATTATCATATGGGACAGAGAAATGCAGCAATAAGTAAATAAATAATTCAAGAATAAACAGAAAATAAATAATAATGTACTATAAAAATATATATAATTGTATTATCAGAAATTAATTATTAAATGTGTAATTTAAAAATTAATTTTATAATATCTAATATTTAGTCCTGAAATTATATAAATATGTTTTACCCCATTGATTTTCAGTACAAATGCACTTTACAGCTGGGCTGGGCTGTGCTTTATAATTCAATAATATTTAATTATTTTTTCACATTACTGAGAAGTACTTAGTTAATAAGAATGCTGAGGACAATGTTAAAAAAAATAAACGAGACATTTGTCTGTGGCATTCAGGCTTCATGATACTGAAACTTTTAAGATTAGACTCCATTAATTTGCCTGAAGTTTAACTGGTTCTAAACAACGTAAGGTCATTACTGAATTCTGTGGTCAACAGTTCATCTGGCTTCTACCTGTTCTCTCTGTGATAGCATTAAATCCTGCATCCAAAGCGTTATCAACTTCAGGCGTTCTTTACAGTCTAACCGCTTTCTCACCATGAGCTCAGATGCATCACATTCCCTTCTGCTCGAGTCTCTCACTACATCGCTGCGCTTTGGGTTTTTATCTTCTGCTGATCTTGCTAACAAATGTTTTATTCTTTCTTTGTGTGTGTTTTGTAGTATTGCTGAGTATGCACATCTCTTTTATCATAGGAGTATTTACTTAATGTATGTGTCTTGCTATTCTGTTATCATAGATTCATAGATTCCTTTGCTTATGTTGTTACTTGTTAAAGCTGTGTGTGTGTGTGTGTGTGTGTGAATGCAGCATTAACATAGAGTTGTCTCATTTTGCAAAGCTGTGTGTGCTCATCTCTGTTTGCCCACAGAAGACAGTTCAGATGAAGAGAACAGTCCTGTACTAAATAGGTTCACACGTAAGTTTGGCCCTTTATGGAGCCCTAGTGGCCCTCACTGTTGCAGCAGCAGGGGCCCTTCCTCCAGATCACTCCATTACACCACAGACACACTCCAACAGGGACGATATATTTGAGTGATTCTTCAATTAGGACTTTTCTTTCTTTTTTCCTAATGTTTTAGAACTTTAAAAGGCAAAATACTTTTTTGGGCTTGTCCCAACCCATTCTTTTAAACATTCACACTATAATAATATATAAAAACTGATCAGAGAAATGGTACCTTTTACTTTTAACTAAGGCCAAAAAAACGTATTCATTCATTCATCGTTCATTCATTCACTGTTCATTCATTCATCGTTCATTAATTAATTCATTCATTCATTCATTCATCGTTCATTCATTCATTCATTCATAAAAAAAATTGCCAGACGTTGTCTCATTTTGCAAAGCTGTGTGTGCTCATCTCTGTTTGCCCACAGAAGACAGTTCAGATGAAGAGAACAGTCCTGTACTAAATAGGTTCACACGTAAGTTTGGCCCTTTATGGAGCCCTAGTGGCCCTCACTGTTGCAGCAGCAGGGGCCCTTCCTCCAGATCACTCCATTACACCACAGACACACTCCAACAGGGACGATATATTTGAGTGATTCTTCAATTAGGACTTTTCTTTCTTTTTTCCTAATGTTTTAGAACTTTAAAAGGCAAAATACTTTGTTGAGCTTGTCCCAACCCATTCTTTTAAACATTCACACTATAATAATATATAAAAACTGATCAGAGAAATGGTACCTTTTACTTTTAACTAAGGCCAAAAAAACGTATTCATTCATTCACTGTTCATTCATTCATCGTTCATTCATTCATTCATTCATTCATTCATCGTTCATTAATTCATTCATTCATAAAAAAAATTGCCAGACTTTCCACTATTAAAAAATGTATTAGATAAATTGTACCTTTCACTTTTACCTAAGAACATAAAAAAATAAGTAATTCGTCCATTTATTCATTATTCTTACATGCATGCATTCATTCTTTCATTTATGAATTTAAAAAAAATTCAAAAACATTTCAGCAAACTTTCCACTATAATAAATGTATGAAAATGCATCTGAGAAATTGTACATTTTACTTTTAACCTAGACCATAAAAATCTAAATTTTTTATTATTTTATGTGTGTATGCATATGTATTTATGTACGTATTCATTTATTTACTTATTTCAAAGAACCTCCAGATTTCCCTCTATATTAAATTTCTGAAATTTGACCACAGAAATTGTACCTTTTACTTTTACCCTCAACCAAAAAAAACCCAAAATATTTTCAATTCTTTTGGTATTTATTCATTATTTTATAACAAACAAAAATCATTGTCCTACATATTGCTTCCATTACCATCACACTTACTGCCAGAATCCACTTTACTGTTGAACAGATGTAATACATGTTTTGAAATAAATAACACATATTTAAAGATGTTTTTTCAAGCTTTGAAGTAGTCTCTAATTAAAGATTCACTCATTTATGCATGTATGAGATCATTTTAGCCCTGCATGTTCTCTACTATTGAAACCTGCTGATTTTCTTTTTTTTATATAACTTCTACGTTACTTCACTCCTAGTTGAGTATGTGGTCTGATGTTGGTATTTAAATGATATTAGAGTTTAATCAAGGAGAGAATGTCATAAAACCCTCAGTTTGCCCTCTATTACTCTACAGAGTGAGTTCTGCATTCAATCTCTCCTCAAACACACTCCATAGATGAAATAAATGCCCTGCCTCGAGGCATTAAAAAGTAATGAGCCCTGTTTATGCTTTAATATTAATTTAATTTCATGATCTGAATCTTACAGATGTCACTCTCATGTAAACTGAGAATGAAAAGTGACATTATAAATTGCCTTTTTTGTTGTTGTGGCTCTTTATTTCTTACTAATTTTCTTACTTTATTTCTTAGTCTATTGTCTATACATGTTTCTTTATCCAAATAATAAAGAATTCTGTCTTGTCTTAAAGCTCATAAGGGCCTGCAGCGGTTCGAGGGTTTGGAGCACAGTGATTGGCTGAGCCCGGGGCAGGCCGTGAGGGGCATGGCTCCACGCCAGCGCTTCCTGTACATACAGATTGTCAATAAGAAGGTCAGTCGGGTTGAATATAACCAGCCGTGACATGCGTAAGCAACACTCTATAAAAACTCTCTTGCATTCCTGTTAACCAGCTGCGACAGTCAGTGGGACGTTTTGCTGCCCACAGTGAAATATCATTTGTCTGAAATACCACAACGCTGCATATTAAACATCGAGTGTGTTCTAATCGGCTGTGATAGTGCAGCGTCATGCAGCATTTTTGTCTTCAAGTGTGTATAGACTTTGGTGTGCAAGGTGGATTTGTGAGGTTTGTTCTTTCTGTTTTATGTTATATTGCTATGCTTCCAGGTGACTCTGTACATGTATAACTGGTCGGTGGATCTGGGCGTCTCTCTGAATCAGGGTCTGGTCAGACTGGTGCAGTGGCAGAACGCCCGCGCTCATGTGGTCAGCTGCCTCCTGAGTCAGAAAATGGGCCTTTTCCATCATTACTGCTTCTCTGATACACCTACACATGAGGACCTGAAACAGGTCAGTACACAAACACACCGGCTGTGTTCTCAATGCAACACCAGCATACTGCATACTGCAATGATCAATTAGAAACAGTATATGAAGCAATAAACATTTCAATCATTTCAACAAACACAATCTCATTTTGCATGTTTATTTCAGCCAGTGATGTCCGATTAAATGAACTATTTTAATATATATATATATACATACACAGTGTTTCCCCTAGGTTTACGGCTTTTGGGGGGGGGGGATTTACATTTTGTTTTAAGGCATAACACATTCATTTAAACTATCTTTTAAGTAATGAAAATTAAACACATTTTTGGGGGTGGGGGAATAAAGGTCATTTAATATTACAATTAAAACATTGAAGAAATATTGAATGCTTATTCCTTAAAAATAAGGTTTTAATAATTTTAGTAGTAGTAGTAGCAGCCTGTTACATACATTCTACTCAACAATAGTAATATATTTCTGCCAATGCCTTCAAGTTAAACCGAACTTTTATTTTGACGGGTTACAACCATTATTTTGTGTTTTTCATCATGTTTTAAAAACTAAAACTATATATTTAAGTGATGTTCACAGCTGACTAATATCATGATTCCTTAGTTTAGCTGAGAGCATTGCATTTGACAGACTGAATTCAGAATAGCATACTAGCATACTATTTTTATTTTTTCTAAAGGCTTTTTTAATTTATTCCTGTGATCAAAGCTGTATTTTCAGCATCATTACTCCAGTCTTCAGTGTCACATGATCCTTCAGAAATCATTATAATATGGTGATTTGCTGCTCAAGAAACATTTCTGATTATTATCAATGTTGAAAACAGTTGTGCTGCTTCATATTTTTTCGTTATATATATTTTCAGGATTCTTTGATAAATAGAAAGTTCAAAAGAACAGCATTTATTTGAAATATAATTTTTTTTGTAGCTTTATAAATGTCACTATTGATCAATTTTATGCATCCTTGCTGAATAAAGGTGTTAATTTATTATTTAAAAAAAATTTATAAATTTTACTTACCCTGAAGTATCGAATGGTAGTGTACATACTGCTTTGTATCTTCTGTCAAAAACAGTAGGTAGTATGTTATTCTCAACATGCACACTCTGTAAGCTGTCATGTATTGCTGGACATCGTTTCGGATGAGCTTTCAGGACAGTGTGTGTTCACACATTATAAGTACAGATAGCGCTAGTGAGTTGGTTAAGCAGCACACGAGTGTCCGGCGCTCCCCGTGGCGGTCTGACATATCACTCTGAGTGACAGACAGGTGTCACGGCCGCAGGGCAGGACGCTAATCACTCCAGCACACCTGCTAACACCAGACACCTGGAAACCATCCAGAGCGCTGCCAAAACAGTTCATTCCTGCCCGGAGTCGAGCTCGTTTGATCAGAGTGAATTGAATCACGCTGTGTTTTAGTTGTTTGCGGTTAATGCAGCAGAACATGTTTGTTGGTTCTGTCAGTAAAGAGACGAAACCTTCTGTCGCGGCGTTCACTGTTATTGATTCAGTTGTCGGCTGTTTGTCAAGATTTCGCACCAAATGTCAGGATGTATTTTGGGAAAGCAGACAGTTGTTGTTGTCGTTATCGAGAGCTTTTGTGTGAAAGGCCTTTAATGGAACCGCTTATGACAGTCATGTGCCTGCACTGATAATGACACACAGACATTTCTGATCAACATTTTAAAGGGGCAATACCAGGAATTTTTGTGCATTTTTAATAAAATAGTTAAAGTACAGTTAGTGGGTCATTATTACGGGGCTATTGTAATGATATATAGACTATATTTATGATAGATAGATAGATAGATAGATAGATAGATAGATATGGATGGAAGGATAGATAGATAGATAGATGGATAGATATGGATGGAAGGATAGATAGATAGATAGATAGATCGATAGATAGATAGATATGGATGGATAGATATGGATGGAAGGATAGATAGATAGATAGATAGATAGATATGGATGGAAGGATAGATAGATAGATAGATAGATATGGATGGTAAACCATTGTTGCCATGTCATTTATAATAGTGGCACAAACCTAGTGAAGATACAATGGTATTGTCTTGTATTTTGGTAAAAATGGTATTTTAACTATAGCGTTAACATATCATAGTGAACATTAGGAACACTTTCAAATGAGACCATTCTCTCTCTTCAGTTGAATGAGTTTTTAATCACGTTGCTGCATAATCTAACAATTTCAGTAGATTAAAAATACATTGCAATATCACAAAGGTCAGTTCTGCAGTGTTAAGAGTACCACATTCTTTAATTTAACTTTTTAATTAGAGTAAAAATGTTATATATTTTAAAATTAACTTATTTATTATTATTTAACATTTGCGATTTCTCAAGGTCACAAATGTTTTAGTCACACACACACATACACTTGCTCTATCATGTTACTGAAGTACAAATAAACTGAACATCTACATATAGAAAGTGAAGGCCAGAACTCCTTTATTTCCTCGTCAGTGGCTCCCCACTTTTAATCTGTTCTCTTAATGAATGCTAACAGAAGGCGGATCCAACATAGCAGAAAATTTGCCCTAACCGTCAATCATCTGTCAGAGTCCCAGGGGGTGGAGTTCAGGCACTTAAGTCCGGCTTATTGGCCCGTCGGGCACATGGGCATCTGCTCCAGCTTCTTTTAGAAAAGCCTCCAACTCGCCCTGGAGGACTTTAACTAGTCTTCCAAACACTAACTCACCCAAAAGTTCCCACAAGAAGAGGGCAGTGTCTTCAGAAGGAGTTCTGTTAGTTCTTCACTCTGATGCTCTGATGGGGTTTTATATTTCAGCCGCGTGTTAATTGTTGGTCTTGAGGAAAGGCCCTCATGCTGGCGGGATCTCTGCGTGTCCGTGAGTTTAACGCTGATGAACACGCACTGCCCATTTCTGTGAAGTTTGACATCACATCTCAGAATGTGTGAGTGAGTTTGTGAAGGCTGATGAGAGCTGAGCTTTGAAATCACATGAAAGAGGCCGAGAGAACGTGAAGACCAGAGGAAATTCTGCTTTACCAAACACCACTGCTTTTCAGTCTGTGATTAATCAATTTAGGATATTTCTTTTTCTTTCTTTCTTTCTTTCTTTCTTTCTTTCTTTCCATACTTTTGTTCATACTTCCGTTTGTGCTTTTTCTTTAATTTAGTTTCTTGCCCTTTTTCAACCTTTCACGCCTTTTATGCCTTTCTTTAAATTGTACTTGCTTTTTTCTTTACTTGGTTACTATATATTATTTTGTAGTTATTTCATAGTTTTTTGTTAGTAGCTTTGATTCATTTTTTTTCTTTGCTTCATAATGCTCTTAGTTTTGTTTTGTAAGTTTGTATTTGTACTTTTGTTCAGACTTTTTTTGTTTGCTTCATAACTCTCTTTCTCTCTTTTCATACTTATTTACACCTGTTGTTTTCTTTTCTTTTCTTTTGTCATTTTTTCTTTCATTTTTCATTTATTTCTTTTTTCAATTTTTAAAAACTTTTTTTTCTCATTTGTATCAATTTCTTTTTCATTTTTATTTTTTTATTTTTTTCTTGATACTCATATGTTGATATTATATCATATAATTATATTATATCATATTATATGTTTACCTTCTGCTTATTTATTTATGTCTCATGTATGTATTTGGTTGTTTGCAGGAGCCCAACCCGTTCCTGAGCTCCACGATCGAGGCGGACGCTCTGTTGAGGAGTCCGGCTCCTCCGGCCGCGAGTAAGGATCAGGGTCGGATGGGCAGCTCTGCTCGTGCTCTTCCTCCTCTGGCCTTCCCCGGAGAACTCGTGCCCTTTGATGAAGCTCTGAGAGACGTGAACACAGTGAGGCCCCTGACCAGTCAGGACGGACCCGATATAGTCGCTCGCCATGGAGCCCAGCTACTGGAGGTCAAAGCCGCTGAGCGCAGAGGTACACACACATCAACACACACAGGTTTGTTTTTGTGAAAAGTGGGGACATCCCATAGGCGTAATGGTTTTTCTACTGTACAGACCGTATATTCTATTGCCCTACACCAACCCTACCCCTAAACCTACCCCTTACAGGAAACTTTGTGCTATTTCAGATTTTCAATACACTCCATTCTGTGTGATTTATATGCGTTTTGAAAAGTGGGGACATGGGGTAATGTCCTGAAAAGTCACCTTCTACTTGTAATACCTATGTCATAACCTTGTCATTATACAAATGTATGTCCTCATTTGTCACAAAAACGCGCACACACACACACACACACACACACACACAATCACAACTTGCATCCACCATCAACACACACACAACTCACATCCTCCATCACAGAGAGTGCACTGTTGAGGAGTGAAGAAAGAAAAGAAAAAAACTACAGAAAGTACATTTAAAAAAAAAAGTAAAATTATAAAAAGTATGAAAACATATTAGCAAAAGAAAAGAATTATAAAAAAATGAAAAGTATTAATTAAAAATAACAAACTGTAAAAAAATCCAAAAGTTGCCATACGGATCAAAGTTTTTAATGTTAGAAAAAATTTACAAAAAAGAAAAGTATGAACAAAGGAAACATAAAATTAAGAAAACAATGCAAGTAGCAGTATGAAAAAGAAGGAAGGAAAGGATGGAAGGAAGGAAAATATAATTAAAGGAGTATGAAATTAGAAATAAGAAAGAAAGAAAATAATGAAAAAAATTATGAAAGATAGTTATACATACTGTATAAGAAGAAAGGTATGAAAATGCCTAAACAAAAGTAACAGTATAAATTAAAGAACAAACAGGAAAAAAAACACACAAAAAAACAGTATGAAAAAGTGTGAAAAGAGAATTATGAAGCAAAAAATGTAACTATGAATTGAAGTTACATAGTAAAAACAATGAAAGAACCACAAAATAAGTATATGAAAGTACGAACAAAACAAGAAAGAAAGAGAATTGTGGCATAATTGTAATTGTGAACCTCAGACAGAGAGCATGTGATTTATTCTGAGGTTTGTCTTGTGTGTTGCAGAGCTGGAGAGACAGATGAAGATTGAGAATCTGTTTGTGACGTGGCAGCAGCGCTCGGCTCAGTCCAACATGCCCATCTCTGTGAGTTCACTCAGACTCAGCGCGAGTACACCGCTGCACACAGGCTCGCCGTGTGATAATGTTTGATGGGTATTTTCCATCACACTCTCAGAGCATGATTTTCCCAGCGGCTCATCAGGTCCAGATTTATCCCAGTGCGCACGGATCCTCTGCCTCACACGCACATATGCAGATCCGTGTGTGTGCGGCCCGCTTGGGTTTAATGAGATGTGGCCAGGACATTAGGAGATGCTGCAGTGTTTGAGATGTCTCTGTCATTCGCGGTGATCGCACTTCCTCTGAATCCACACTGAGGCTCTTTCACACTGCTGAGATCCAGACAAATATGTTATTATTATACTGCAGGTTACAATCCATATTGTGCAGGTCACTACTACTGTAAGTACACTACCGTGCAAAGGTTTGGGGTCAGTAAGATTTTTTTGATGTTGAAAGAAATTAATCAGCTTTAACTTTAATCAGCAAGGACGCATTAAATTGATCAAAAGTGACAGTAAAGACATTTATAATGTTACAAAAGATTTCAATTTCAAATCAATTATATTCTTTTGAACTTTCTATTCGTCAAAGAATCCTGAAAAAAATCAGGGATCCCACAAAAATATCAAACTCTTTTCAACATTGAGAATAATCAGAAATGTTTCTTGAGCTGCATATTAGATTGATTTCTGAAGATCATGTGAGACTGGAGTAATGATGCTGAAAATTCAGCTGCGCATCACAGCAATTAATTACATTTTAAAATATATTCAAATAGAAAAGTTATTTTAAATTCTAATAACATTTCACATTACGTTTTTTTACTGTATTTTTGATCAAATAAATGCAGCCTTAAGGCCAGATTTACTAACAGTTTGCACCAGTCTTTTGGCATTAAAATAGTACTGTCATGATTTACTAAAGACGCACAGTGAAGAATTAGTGCTGAAAAGGCGTGTTCATGTGCATATTGTCAGTAAATCATCCGCAGAATTTTCCCCTCCCATCGGCGCTTTTATGGAATTGCGCTCTAATGCTAATTTGCTCTGTTTAGTAAATCTGGCCCTTAGTGAGCAGAAGAGACTTCTTTCAAAACACCATCGAGCCCCAAACTTTTGAACCGTACTGTAAATTCACAGCATATCCTGATTGTACATTTTACAGATACGCACCATTGGTTGAGTTGAGTCAATGTGTTGAACAGGTTGTGATGCCTGAAAGCACCACAGGCTGCATATTAAACTGGGATGGAAAGTATTTACACACTGAAAATGTTAGCAAATGAAGGAATTGTAGGTTTAAATCTGGAAACGCTCTCTCTGTGTGTTCAGGTGGCGGATCTGGACACACTGAAGCAGTCGTCTCGGCTGGTCCATTACTGCGCCACTCCGCTGCTCTTTGACCCCGTCTTCCGGAAACAGGTTCAAGAGGAACAGCTGCCTCAGCCACAGATGAAGGTCTGTCTCTCTTCCTCATCCTCATCCTGCTGAGTCTGTCTGCTGGTTCACACTGCAGTAAACCCATTTATACAAAAAAAAAAGGGTTAGGATGATAATATTAATAATAATAATAATAATAACCATAAGTATGAAGCATATAATTCCATTGTGAGTGCATGAGATTTCTTTTTTGTTTTATTAATTTTTTTGTTATTATTTTTATTATTATTTGTTATTATTTAACCATTATTAGTTGTTGTTTTATTATTATTCATGTAATATAAATAATATTATTAATTATAATTGTATTATAATAGAATTGGTTTATTTATTGTATTGATTTATTTTTTTATATTTGAATAATAATCATAATAGTCATATTTGTTAAAAATATTAATATTTTGATTAATCAGAACTGTGAACCATATAATTATATTATGAGTGCATAAGAATTATTTATTGTTTGTTATTATTATTATTGTACATTTGAATTATTATTATTATTAGTCTATATGCAAAACAGATAAAAATAAACCGTAAATATCACTTCTATATAATGACGTGTCAGGTATGATAATGAGCACACGTGTGTCAGTGTAGCAGCAGAATAATCATGATTATGTGGTCGTTGGTCAGTTGTTGTTGTTGATGATGAAGGTGATATAGAGGTGAGTGATGTACAAAATCTCATCTGATGTACAAAAAGTGTTTGGACGCATGAACCACGTTTAAAATGTCATGCATTAGATAACAAAATGTCAAAGCAAGTGGGATTTATATTTATATAAAGTTAGCCCAAGCACACTGTGCACCTCTGCACTCCACTTTTTCTCTGACCGTTGCATCTGAATTTTAGATTGACCCACACTAAATGTCACACACAAAAATAGACCGTGTTTGCTTGCTTTTCCTGCCTAAGTGGATGGTAATAGGCTCAATATGGACCAGACTTTATGCTGACAGTCAAAAGTCTGTCTGTGCAGTGAATTGAGTTCAGATTTCACTCATTCAGTGTCTTTTCTGCTTCACAGTCTGACTTTCTCTCGTTCTTGGCTTGCAGAAGCGGCATCGCTCCAGTGACTCTACAGCGTCCGGCCGCGATCGCAGCTACAGCATGGATTCTGCAGACATGCTGCCGAGTCGTCTGAAGGAGGAGCCGTGGCTGCAGGAGATCTCCAGCATGTTCCTGCAGCAGTATGTGCAGTATCTGCAGAGCATGGGCTTCATCCTGGTGCAGGTCCGGCCGCAGTCGCCCGCTCGCAGGTCTGTGTCCACAGAAAAACACCTCAACTAAACACTCAAGTCATGGTGAAAAGATCAGATTTAGGAGTTGAACACACATGGACAGAGGCTTCACGTGCCCCCTCAGATTTTTGAGCCAAGTGGATTTTGAATGCAGCTTCCAAAAGACAGAAAATAGCCAAATAATATTTTTTATATTTCATACAATCACACGAGCGTGATTAGAACATGCAGTGCGGCACAGTCACTGCATGTCATGCGGATACGTTGTTTTCGTTCAAATCAAAGCGTAACGGGTTTAGAACGACACGAGTAATTAATGACAGAATTTTCATTTTTGGGTGAACTAACCCTTTAAGTTCTTTATTATTGCATACTTATTATGTAACACTTAAAGTGTTACCTGATTTTTTTTTTTTAAATATACAATTAAACTTAGTTGCATGGACAAAATACCATAGTATTATAGTAGAATAAATAATGATTAAAATTACAGCATCTTCATAAATTGAACAAAAACATAAAAGAGCAAAAACATACCTGATGCACTTTCTTTTCTTTATCATTTTGTAGATATGGTGTTTAAAAGTCTTGTTGCATTTTATATAGAAAAGGTGCATCGTAATCTTTCTCTGAACAAAGTGACGCCTTCTCGACTCGTAAATGCAAGCTTCCTAGGAGGACTTGAATGTGTCAAGCGGTTTTGAACTGTGTATTTCAGTCATAAACACTGTTATTCAAACTCAAGGTTTTTTGTGAAAATAGCTTTTATAGCAGCCGAACTGTAACATCAAACATGGTACAAAATCTTCAGAGTCATCCGGTGACCGTAAGCTGAAGAATAAGTGCTTTTTGCAGAAGCCAGCTCTCTGTAGCGTGTGTGTGATGTGCTAATGTTGGACGCACTGCATTAAGCAGCAGGAGCGTGTGATTCAGTCTGACCGGCAGCATGAGGGCCGCATTACTGACGGGGTCAGACGCCCGGCGGGCCGCACACGCTCTCACTCTCTCTCTCTCTCTCTCTCTCTCTCTGCAGCATCGCTCGAGCCCGAGCCGCCATGTTGAGTTCTTTATCCACCGAAGGCAGATCTTCCTTCTCCTCTTTCTCATATAATAAGCAGAAGAGTGAAGACAGCCCCAAGGTACTTTATCTGCTCATCCATATTCAACCCTTCAGTCACACTCCAGTTTTGGGTCCATAGACCTATTATTATAATTTAAAATAACTGTTTTCTATTTGAATATATTTTAAGATATAATTTATTTATGTATGACAAACTGAATTTTTTTTAGCAGTTGGGTCTCTTAACTAGTTGCTTATTAGCATGCATATTACTAGAATATTAGCCATTTATTAGTACTAATTAAGCACATATTAATGCCTTATTCTACATGACCTTATTCTACATCCCTAATCCTACCCAATGCCTAAACTTAACAACTACCTTACTAACTATTAATAAGCAGCCAGTTAGGAATTTATTGAGGGAAAAGTCGTAATTAATTGTGAATAAGTGTTCCCTATTCTGAAGTGTTACCCCCATTGGTAACACCCGTTTCCATTCTGGATCCCATCCAAATAAAAAATGCTGAAAATCAAATCTTTAAATAAAAAAGGCTTTTTAATGACACCTTAAATTAATAATTCTTCATAATATTTTTTATCATGTTTTTATGTTCGTTTTCATCAGATTTAAAATGATTGTTTGGTAACAAGACACACAAACATGATGTTTAAATTGTTTTACAATTCATTAAAAAAGCCAGAATGATGAAATGGTTAAAAATTAAAATAAATTTCTTTTACTGACCCTCAAATTTGAACAGTAATACATGTGCAATAAAATGACTTGCACTAGCACCACTGCAATAAAGAATGGCTAACACACACACACACACACACACACACACACAAACACACTGATTGTGTCCTTTCTGCATCTCTCAACAGAGCAATGCATCGAGCTCGGCGTCGTATCACCTGCAGAGGGCGCTGCCGGGAGGAATCGTGCTGATGGAGCTGGCTTTTCAAGTGAGACCTTCATCTGTCTGTGTGTCTCACGTAGAATCGGCCTCTTAGCACATCAGCCGAGAGCAAACGCTGTGAAAGTCTCAGTGGATGTCGAGGAGAGAGATGTTTAATGGATCCTGCCTCTCTCGCGCTATTTATGCTTATTAATACTTGAACACACAGATTCAATCTGTGCGTCATCATCTGATCTCCAGCCCGTGCTCATGTCTAATATCCCCCTCAATTCAGGTTTAAACTCATTTAATTGCATGGCATGATTTTTACATCAGGGCTGTCAAAGTGAACATGCTAACATATGCAATTAATGATGGATTTATTCTGTTCTGTGTGAATTACTCATCATGAATTCTGATTGAAATCTATGTTTACCCATGAGTAAAACACCAGTCATTCATAGAAATTTTCAACACTAGCAGATGAGTCAGTGGCAAAAATACAAGTCCATAAATTGTGCTGAAATGTATTTAGTTTAGTGTTATATATTTATTTATTTATTATTTTTTTGCATTTTCAGTTGCATTTCTTGTTTAGTTCACTAATAATATTAATTATTATGATAATGATAGTAGTAATATTGAAAATAATGATGATAATAACAATAATAATATTTTATTGTTATTATTTTAGCGGTTGTTCAAATCTCTGGTTTTAATACTACTACTACTACTACTACTAATAAAGAAAATTTATAATTATAAGGTTCAGACTTATGGTTAGGGATTTGAATGAACACTTAACCCTAGGTCAGGTTCCAAAATAATGGAATTGTTTTAATAAATGGGTTTGAATATTATTTATTTATTTATGGTGAGAAGTGTTTCTATTTCACAGGTGATTATAAATCAGGAGAGTTAAAGGGATTGCAAATACTTCTTTATTTGGTTCAGTTTGCTAATAATTATAATAATAATAATCATTATTATTATAATAGTAACATAGTGTGCACAAACGAATCATGACCAGGCTGAATTAAGAAAGCAAATGAAGCCAATTTTGATTTATTTTGCCTTAAGAAGCTTCTCCTGTATATGGTGAGCTAAGCAGTGATGAATTTATCTGCAGCTGATGCATAAGTGTTCCTCTGCTAACACATAATCTTATTGTGACTCTGTTGCAGGGCTGTTATTTCTGCGTGAAGCAGTTTGCATTAGAGTGCTCAAGGATTCCCATGGGTCAGACGGTTAATTCTCAGGTAACGGCATCTGTGCATTAAAAACAGCAGACAAGAAGAGAAAGTGAGAGTAAGCGAGGTGTTTAAGAGTTGTGCATCTGTTGTAACTGCCTGTGTTTAATATGAGCAACAAGCAGCAATCGCCTCCTTTGTAAGCAGGATTCACTGGTCAAATGTCTGTCTCTTTCTCTCTGATGGCGTGTTTAATGTGCAGCGGGTCCAGGTTGGCTCTAAATGAGGAGTAATTAAGTGTAAATATTTGTAAATCTCCAGATGTTTCTCAGCAGGAGGGCTCTGATTTCTTCCAGAAGCCCATAAGGTGTCTCCAGTCACAGCTGCTCATATCCAGCAATTAAGTCATCAGCGTGTTTGTTTGCTTGTTTGTAAGTGCAGATTCTTCAAACTGAGCTTGAGGGCAAACAGGCAAAAGGAATCACTAATGAAAATTCATCAACTTAAATCTGTTCTGTTAGAGTCCATAGTATTCGATTGCGTTAACAAACATTGCCAGCTGCCAGTTTGGTGTTATTTTTCATAAGGAATGAACAATCCAGTTATTGTTAATTATTCTGCTGTTAATACTACTTTTTGTTCCTGGAGAACTAAATATATCCACTTACCGTAGAAGGATAAAGTGACATTTTCATCAAGACTGCATAGTGATCAAATTCACCAGGAAAAAATCAGCAAATCCTCTTGAAGTCAGGCGTATTACACCTGCATTTAAAGGTCATAGTCAGGAAACTCTGCCATTTGTACCAGAAAATTCTTCTTTTAATAAAAAATTACATTTGAAAAGGTTACTGTTGAACTTACATGAAATCATATTTTCATATCTCGGGCTCAAAGTATTAGTGCCGTTATGCCATATACATTAGTGAATCTTATGACAATGCTTTTTCCCCAGTGGTCAACAAATATGATTATGGTTGTTGTTTTCTCACAATTACAGTAGCAACAGTATTTATCATTATAGCGTTGAGAATGCCCACTTTGTCCTTCTACAATGAGTGGATGTATTTGGTTCTCCAGGAACAAAAACACAGCTTAAAGACATTAACATTGCAGAATAGTTAACAATAAATTGATTGTTCATTCCTAATGAAAATGCGATTGACATGAAGGTATAAAATTAAAAGCTGAAAATGAGTGACACACAAAGGTTAAAAAATGACAAATGAAATGAGACCAAAAAGTAGTTTATAACAATAAACATTAAAAAAAAAAAAAAGTATAAAAACACTAATACTAAATAAAACAAAAATTGGAGACGGAAAATTATGAAACAAGTACTAAAATCATGAAACTTGACATTACAAGAAAACCAGACTAAAAAGATGTTTTTTAATTTAGATTAATAATAATGTAAAAAATTAAAATTGCATTAATATTTTTACATGATCAATATTTGTTTTTAAACCATATGCATGATATATTTTAATTTCAATTAAAACAAAATGTGTATATATAAAAGCATTTTTATATCTTTATACATATACCAAGCTTTTAATTGAATAATTGAAAGATTATTATAATTTAATAATTTAAACACTTAAATCTGATTGTAAAGTGTTATCAATATGACAAATTGAGTATCCTGCTGTATGTCAGTGGCAAGGTTTTCTAAGCATGAAGAGTCAAAGCAAAGATTTTTATGCTAAATATTACAGTTATTATCATTTTAATCATCTTCTCCCTGACATGTTACATTAAACATTTCATTATTAATACATATTTATTTTAAGCTATACTTTCACTTTTTTTTTTACTTTATACTACTAATACTCCTCCAGTCACTGTAGCAGCAGATGAAGTTGGTTTTGAAATGCCACTGGACGCCATGAGAATGCTTTCTATTTATCTGACATTTATCAAGAGTTTGCTGCAGAAATTGGGAACAGTGGGAATAGATCACGATGTAACAGGAGCCATAAGAAGCGGATATTTTGCAGAGTTATAGAGTGAAAGGTCACGCCTGCTTCTCATCTATTCAGACTGCACATGCCTCATGCTCATCATTATTGATCATCTCATGTCACTTCCTGTCACACGCCCTCATACATTAGCGCGGGCAGCTTGTGCATGTGTGTTTTGTTCATTAGTGTAAATTGACTTCTAACCTCTCTGTGTGGCATGTTTCTCATCTGTCTCTGTTCTGTGTCTGTGTGTGTGTCTCACTGTCCTGCATATGGTGTGTGTGTGTGTGTGTCTAGTCCCATCTCCCCCTTTCTTTCCATCAGGAGTCTCTTCTCAACAAACCTCCTAGCCAGCCGTTCCCCGAGGTGCCCACGGCCTCTGACTCTGCGGTATGTCTCTGCATCCTCGGGGCGGGGCTCGTCTCCCACCAATCAGGCTTCAGTCTTTCCCTCAGACTCCTCCCCCATATAGTGCCTGGCTCCTCCCTTTCCTATTGCAGCCCCACTCACACCTTTCTGTGCGGTTCATTGAAAATCAGATGATTCCTTTCCATGTGTTTGTCTGTGTTTGTCAGCGTTGCATCTTGGGAAGTCCTCGAGGTGCTGTTGAATGTGGCATCTTCTGGGAGGTCACGGGGTCATTCTTCTTGCAGCTCTGATAGGCCAATGATCTTTTTTCTTTGCTCAATGATTATCCCTGATTTTCTTCCGCTCTTGTTGCATCTTGATTTGGATCTGCTTGTTTCCTTTTAAGGGAATCATGAACTATAATTCTGAGGCAGTTCAATATATAATAATTTCTCTTTATAGATGAGCAGAAGAAACAAATCTGATAATGCTAATTTTCTTTCATTTCACTTTGTAGTTTTTTGGCTAATTTGGAGCATTCATAATTTGCTTTTCGCAACTAAGCTGTTTCAAAATGAGGAAATCACAAATGCCATCTTCAAGTGGAGCGTTTCTACTTTGTCTTGATTGCTTCTGCTTGAAACAAGATAGGAAACAAAAGACTTAAAGTCTGCGTACCTGCTTTGCTCAGCCTATTTTACTTCCAAAATCTGGTGTATAAGATATTCATAAGAGTCTGTGGGTTTGAATGGATTCGAGATGGATTCAGGATATTGACTGAAAAGAAATATGCAGCTAATTTTTGGATTGCATTTTATTTTAAGGTGACATTGTAACAGTGTAATTACACAAATAACTCGTACTGAGTAATATTAATTAACTACATATACTTACTATAGGGTTTGGGTTTACACTGTAATTAACAGTGTCCTTGTTACAGTGTAATTATACAATCAAGTACTGAGTAATATTAATTAACTACTTGTACTTACTATATGGTTATAAATAGGGTTTGATTTAGGGTTATTGCATGTAATTATGCATAAGTTACTATTATTTCTATAGTAAGTACATGTAATGTGTAACAAGGATGCTAAAATAAAGTGCCACCGTATTTGGTGTAGAGTTAATTACTTGTAATTATGCACAATTTACTGTTATTACTACAGCAAGTGTGTGTAACATGTAAGAAGGATGCTAAAACCAGGGTTGGTTTAGGTTTAATTATGTGTAACTATGCATTATTTACTGTTATTACTACAGTAATTACCTGTAACATGTAGCAAGGTTGCTAAAATAAGGTGTTGCAGGTTTGGTTTAGGGTTAATTACTTGTAATTATGCATGATTTACTGTTAATACTACAGCAAGCATGTAACATGTAACAAGGACATTATAATAAGGTGTTACCAGGTTTGGTTTAGGGTTAATTACTTGTAATTATGCATGATTTACTGTTAATACTACAGCAAGCATGTAACATGTAACAAGGACATTATAATAAGGTGTTGCAGGTTTGGTTTCGGGTTAATTACATGTAATTATGCATGATTTACTGTTAATACTACAGCAAGTACATGTAACATGTAACAAGGACATTATAATAAGGTGTTACCAGGTTTGGTTTAGGATAAGTTACTTGTAATTATGCATAGTTTACTGTTATTACTTCAGTAATTACATGTAACAAGGACATTTCAAAGTTTTACTGTTAGGTTTAGGGTTAGTTATTTGTACAGTAATTATGCATAATTTACTATTACCACAGTAAGTGCATGTAACCTCTAACCTCTAATCACCTTAAAATAAGGTGTTACCAATTATTCCAATTTGATTAAAAATATTTTAAATTTCATATTTGGAATAATGTGCACAAATAAAATGTATAAAAAAGGTATGTTCATTAAAAAAGTATAAAGGTTTATGTTTACTTTAGGGGCCCTTTTTAGGACTTTAGGATTTTGTGAGGTTACCAGGCAGCCAGAAAGTAGTGAAAGTATACAGTAAAAAACTGTAAAAGTAAGAAAGTAGAACACCTAGAACTCTCTAAGTGACGCCAAAGTCCCTCTAAGACAAATTCACTCAACGGTCATTTACGTAATGCCTTGGGCAGCTCTTTCCAGCCATGCAAGTACAGCTTCATTGGATTTAATAGAGAAACACTAAAATCTGTCAAAATTCTGTTTAAGTGATTTATTTCAGATCAATAAAATGTGACAGCAATGATATCATAGCTTAAAATCAGTGCTTCTTGAGCTCAGATCACTCAAAACCCTGCTAATGCACATGCATCGTCAAGAGTAAACAAACAAGCTGTTTGAACTATAATGCATTCAGCAGATTTATTGAGTGTAGCGATGGCTCTATCGAAAAGGATAATGGCTGTTTTACCTGTAGGGCAGGACTATGATTGCTCTCATTTATATGTTCAAGTGGACCATCTTCTCCATTCTCTCTGGTGACACGTTTGACAGAGCTTGACCTGTGCGCCTCGTGGCATCTGGGAAAACTCTGTAGCATTCAATAAGGCCGTAATTCTCTGAATGTTGGCATTTGGTTAACACATGACTCAGGTCTAGGGTGTTATTATGCTTTAAGAGTGTCACGAATGCAAACACAACAGACTAACCAGCGCAATCATAGCAAGCTGTGAATGGAGCCGTTTTCGTGCTCCATGTTTCCAAAAGCTGTTTTACGCAGCCGCGCATGACTTAGAGGAAAATGGACTGACGGTATTATCTTTCCTCAGAACTTTCAGTCAAATGGGCCACCGGCAGATTTCAAAACATTGACATGAAAAACGTTTCTCGTGCAGGGATGAAAGGTGCAATTGCACGAGCTGTTTTCTGCTTTCTGCAAATGGAACGGCCACGGCAGCGTCAAATGTACAGGGTTGATGTGATAAGACCTATTTGCATTTGTTCCAGGGTAATGGTCAGGATGAAAGCGGCAGCGGTAATAGCGTTTAGCCGTCGAATCCAGCGCCCTCCCCACCTCCTGCTCCCATTGTACTGTAATTACTCCTGCTCTCTCCCTCTGCAATCATTTGCATTCGCCACTGATGCTTTTGTAAGCACGGCTTTGATGTGAGATTTAATTAAATAGGATACAATTATTATGTTGATTGATATCACAGAAGCTTTTAAAAAGACTCTTGTAAAGGTTTGGCAGGTCGCTGGTTTGCTCTTCACAAGTCAGCCACATGGAGTTTTAGATGTGATGTCAGGTTTGAGGTGCGCTTGGGTGATTTTCACGAAACCCATCAAGAACATGTCTGGCTCAGATTTCACCCCCAAATCAAGCACCATTAAGACTGTGTGCATTGGAACTTCATTTCCATTGCATTTACACAGTTTACAAAACGCAACATGCTTCCACTGACAAGTAATTTCTCAGATCTCACAGAAAGTGAAAATGATTCCTGACACTGTCACAGCCACACACATTCAATGTTTACTATGTATGTTTTTAAAATAAATTTATGGATTTATTTAGTTTAACAGTGGCATATATATATATATATATATATATATTTCTGTTTAATAGTGGCATAATATTTATTGTTTTTTATTTTTGTTTAATATTGGGATTTATTTATTTAATTAATTAATTAATTATGTTTAGTAGTGCATAATATTTATATACTTTTCAAATAATTTATTTGTTTAAGAGTGGGATTTATTTATTTATTTATGTTTAATAGTGACATAATATATACTTTTTAAAATTTATTTATTTGTTACATTTTTATGTTTAATGGTTTTTTTTATTTATTTTTGTTTAATTTTAGGATTTTTTTAGTAGAGATTTTATTAGTATAATATGAAACAATACAGTAATGAGAATCTAATTAGTAATAATAGAACTTGGATGCATTAGAGTGTAAAATCTGATTATTTGTCATGAAAATAATGTCACATTTGAGGATCTGGAGTTGATGGGATGATGTTCCTGCTACTGCTTGCGTTCTTCCTCTGGGGTTCTGATGGTCTCTCACAGGTGATGTGGAGTGATGCAGCGGTAACAGTGTTCATGTGTGTTTCTACCCTCAGCTGTCCATGCTGTTCACCGAGGAGTGCGATAAGGTGCGGGATCTGATGCACGTTCACTCCTTCAGCTACGACTTCCACCTGCGTGTGGTGCATCAGTACCTCGTGGGCTGTCACATGACCCTGCGGCAGGGGTACCAGCTCACGGCCTTTCTGGAGGACTTCATCGCCCATCACCCCGACATACCAAAGTTTGGACGCAACCATGTCTTCCAGGGTGAGCGCATGTCAGAAACGTACATCTTTTGCATCTATTAAACATTCATAAGTCTGAACTTTCAGCTATAGCACATTTATTTTTGTGTTTTGCTTGTCGTTTGTCTGGCTTCACTGAAAATGAAAATAAATGCTGCATGCAACTGTCATTCACAACAATGTATTTATTTTAAAAGTGACAGTTTTATTTATTTTTTTAATTGGATTTATTTATTTTTAATTTTTGGATTTTAATTTATTTGTTTGTTTAGTGGTGGGATGTACTTATACCTAATTTAATTTATGTTTAATAGTGGCATAACTTAATATATATATACAATTATATTTACGTATGTGATTAATGGTGACGTATGTATGTATATTTAATAGTGGCATTTTGGAGATTGTATTACAATAATGCAAAACAAAAAGATAGATATTTAAATTAAGTATTTATACATCATGGTACATCATGCTGATTAAAAAAATCATCAAAATACAGTAATGAGTATCTAATTAGTAATAATAATGATAGTTACGAAATAACTTGGATTCATTAGAGTGTAAAATCTGATTATATCTCAAATCTCAGTGGTCCTAAAGTTGTATTTATTTTTTACGCAAAATATTATTTTGTATTTATTTTCTTTAGATTTTGGGTTGAAATGTGACTGAACATGTTTTTCAGCAGATTCACACGCGGCGTATTTATTATTTGGTGGTTTCTTGTTTTTGTCAGTCATGCGTAATATGCTTTCATGTGTCCTAGGGAGTTTCTCCATATCGACGGGGATGATCACAGCGCATCAGCTGTATAATTACATCACTGATCACGCAGGCACTTACGGGATGAAGCCCCTGCGCATGTCTAAAGCTGCAGTTACCACCGATAACAAGAAGGGGGCGCCGAGTGCAGATCTGCACGAGTACGTGCTGGTCGCTCTGTGGAACAGGTACTGTAACGCGGTTCACTCCTAGTTTGAGCTGGTGGTGTTATCATTTCTATTCTAATAATGCTGTTCTCTTGAAGCTCTGGCTCGTTTAAGGATCTGGAGGGATTGCGACACCATGATGACTTTGACGTGTCGCTACTGGTTTGTCATAACGCCACCCCGTTTGAGGAGCAGTCAGAGGGAGAGAGACACCTGCTCAGGTACAAACAAACGAGGAATACAGTGACTTTGTGAACACATTATGGGCATCAGTTAAACACTACATTAGTAGATAAAAGCAATTAATACAATTAAACTGTAGGCGAGACAACATGAAACAACATTTGTAATAAAGTTCACTTCTGTGATGGGAGGTATTTTCTGCGTGAAACGGTTTAATCAGTGGGGGGAAATATAGACTGAGACTTTTAGGTGGAATGGATCTTTGTTATGTTATAGATATCTGTAATATTACTATATAAAATAATAAATTATTATAAATAATAATAATAATAATAATAATAAGCAAACAATAATATATGTAAATAAATCATATTTGTGTAATATTAATAATAATATAGATATTATCTGTAATAGTACTATATATAATAATAAAGTATTATATATCATCATCATAATAATAATAAACAATAATATATTTAAATAAATAATATTTGTATAATATTAAAAATGT